TCTACTACTACTACTACTACTACTACTACTACTACTACTACTACTACTGCTACTACCCCTACCTTACTCCTCCGCCCACTCCTCCTCTCCCTCCACATGCCATCATTTGCATTCTCCGCCATCCTGCCTCCTCCTCCACCGCCTCGCGTTCCTCGCTACTTGTCGTCCTCATAATCGACCTGGTCCTCATCCTCCATCCTGACCCTCATTAGCCTGTTCCTCCTCCTCCTCCTGATAATTGTCCTCGTCATCAGGATCATCGGCACCCACATCACCATCACCACCACCCCATCACCACCCATCACCACCCATCACCACCATCATCATCCATACAAGCATTATCATCGTACCGTCACCATCCTCCTCATCATCATCATCATCATCATCATCATCATCATCATCACCATCACCATCACCATCACCATTACCATAATCAGCATCATCAGCATCAGCAGCATCATCAGCAGCATCACCACTACCAGTAACCCTCAACATCATACTCATCATGTTCCTCCTCCTTCTCTTCCTCCGCCTTCTCCTCCTCCCGTCCTCCTCCTCCTCCTCCTCCTCCTCCTCCTCATCATCATCATCATGATCATCATCATCATCAGCATCAGCATCATCATCATCAGCATCAGCATCATCATCATCATCATCATCATCATCATCATCATCATCATCATCATCATCATCATCATCCTCCTCATCCTCATCCTCATCCTCATCATCATCCTCATCCTCCTCATCCTCTTCAATCTACACCTCACCCTCACCCTCACCCTCCCCCTCCGCATCCCCCCCCCTCCGCATCACCCGCCCAGAACCTCTCCGCACGCGCCCGCGCCCGCGCGGCCGGCGACGACCCGCGGGCTGGTCCTTCGGCGGCTCGAACGACTTGGACGCCCGCGCGCCGTCGGGGAAGTCCTCAGGCGAGACGGCGTCGTCGTCCTCCTCCGCGCTTCCCCCGCGCGGCCTCGGGGGCGGGGCGCGGTCGTGAAGGGGGGGGCGGAGGGAGAAGGGGCAGTGAGTGAGGGAGGGGAAGAGGGGAGGGAGGCAGGGAACGAAGGAGGAGGGGAGGGGGAGGGGGAGGAGGAGGAGGAGGAGGAGGAGGAGGACCAGTGCAAACCCAAGACTCATCAACGATGTTGGAATACACCCTCCCTCCCAAGTCCCTCTTCACAGGCCCTTGCAAGAGGTCACTTCCACCTGGAACTCCACCCCGAGGAAATCGCGGGGTCCCATAGGCACTGTCAGGAACTGTTGTTGAGCGCGCCGTGGCGGCGGCCCCGGCGACACGCTACGCCCTGCGGGCGGATATCATGACGTTCTGCTCCGCGGGGCGGAGCGGCACGCTGTGCAAAAGCTCCCGACCGTGCAATCCACCCGTCCAGCAAGGACGCGCGACAAGGAGGCCGACGACCCGCTGCGGGTGGGACACGCTGCGGGCGGGGCGCGGCCTGCGAAAGCGGCCAGGGATCGGCCGAAGAGGAAGGATGCCAGTAAATCAGGGCATCTGCTGCCTTGGAGCGCCTGAGCTTGAGTGGAAGAACACGGGGACCATGACAAAGACTGAGCGCGGGAACGGCGTGCCAATCTTGGCAACCGTCCATCTGGCCTCAGGAGGCCCTGGGAGGCCCCAGGAGGCCCCAGGAAGCCCCCAAGAGTCCCGGGGAAACCCCGGGAGGAGGCCCCAAGGAGGCCCCCGGACACCCCCAGGAGGCCTCGGGAGGCTCCAGGAAGCTCCAGGAGGCGCCAGGAAGCCCACGGATACCCCAGGAAGCCCCAGAGGAGGCCCAAGAGGCCACAGCAGGCCCTGGACAGCTCCAGGAGGCCCCTGGAGCCCCAAGGAAGCACCTGGCTGGCCCAAGAAACCTCCCGCGGTCTCAGACGGCGTGTCGGGCACGTGGTTCTGGTCGCTGGCACGGGAGGCAGGGAGGGAGGGAGGGAGGCGGGAGGGACAAGGAAGAGGGAGGGATAAAGACGAGGGAGGAGGGAGGAAGCAGAGCGGGAGGAGGAAAAGGGAGGGAAAGAGAAGCGCAGGATGAGAAGGAAAAGAAGGAAGGACAAGGAGGGAGGAAAGAAAAAGGAAGCAGGAAAGATGAGGAGGGGAGGAGTTGGAGAGACAAGGATGGGAATGGGAAGGAGGAGAAGAAAACAAGCAAACACATAACAAGCAAAAACGATACGACGACGACGACGACGACGACGACGACGACGACGACGATGACCACGACCACGGCCACGACCACGACCACGACCACGACCACGACCACGACCGCGACCACGACCACGACCACGACCACGACCACGACCACGACGGACACAACCACGACCACGACAACGACGACGAAGACGACCACGACAACGACCACGATAGCGACCACGACAACGACGACGACCACGACTACGAGTGTGACAACGACGACGACGAAGACGATGACGACGAAGCCGACGACGACGAAGCCGACGACGACGACGACGACGACGACGACGACGCCCACGACCACGACCACGACCAACACAATGACCACGACCACGACCACCACGGCCACAACCACGACCGCGCCAACGACAACCACGACGACGACGACCACGACCACGATAACGACCACGATGACGACCGCGACCACGAGAACGACAACGACGACGGCCACGGGAACGACGACGACGACAACGACGACGACGATGCCACCCGCGCTCAAGCCCCGCGCGGCCTGGCACCCGGCGCGGCACCGGCGGGGCTGTTGGGCGGGGCAGCGGCGCCCCCGCCGAAGTCCTCCGGGGAGACCGGGTCCTCCTCGTCCTCGGGGCGGGAGCGGCCGCTCCATAGACAAGAGCTCCCAACTTCGCGCTTCGCGCTGCGCGGAGCGCGAAGTGCGAATAACTTCGCGCTCTCGGGCCGCCTGCCAGGGGAGAAGAGGACGAGGAGAAAGCGGAGCCGAGCCGCGAAACGCGAAGCGCGAAGCGCGAAGCGCGAAGCGCGAAGCGCGAACAGCTGCGCGCCCTCGAAGGCGCCCTTGCCTACAGCGCGGCCGAGGCCCGCGGTGTTTCTCCCTGCGTCGGCTTGCACGTCGCAGCGCCGAGTGTCGAGCGGCGGGGGGGGGAAAAGGAAGGGAAGGGGCGGCCGCGGGGCGGGGAGGAGAATACGAGACCGATGTTGCATCACAGCAGCAATTCGGCCCCTGACTTTCGTCCTGGGTTCGGTTTAGTGAAGTGATGAATTTCGGGGTCCTTACGTGGGAAAAACATCACTTCACTAATCTGGGCCCCTGGGGCCTCAGTGGGCCCTGGGGCCCAAAATTAATGAAGTGATGGTTTTCGGGCGTCGGAGAGAGGGGAGAGCGCTCGCGTGGCAGAAGCCGCCGCGGAGCGGCCGGGGCGGCCAGCCGGTGCTGCAAACCCCGGCAGCGGGCACGGGGCGGGCCCCTGCGCCCGGCACGCGGAGAGAGAGGGGACCTCCAGAAGCACGAGGTGTGGTGGGACGCTGACATGGGACCTGGGTCCGCGTTCATCTCTAGAACCTCATGCCTATACCTCCAGGTCTGTATGAGGAGGGAGGCACAAGGCGGGTCCGGCCTTGAAGTGGCTCTCGAAGCTGAGCGTGCCTCGCCAGGGGGCACGACTTTGGTGTCCTGCCTCCCGTCGGGTCTCGCGCCCAGAAGCACGAGGAGGCAAGAAGGTGCAGCAGCAGCGGCAGGTCACACGGGCCAGGGTCCACAGGACCGAAGCGGCGATGGAGCCAGGAGCGCGCTGGAGGAAGGCTTCGCGCATGCAGCTGCTGTCGACGCCTTGCAAAGCAGTGCCTGGGGGTTCCAAGTGCAAAAAGGGAAGAAACACCATAAACAGAACTTTTGGCGCTCCGCACGGCTTTCTTGGATCTGCGCTGGAGCCCCCTCCCTGGCGCGCGAAGCGCGCCATGGGCGGCGCCGAATTTCGCCGCTGTGGGGGGGGGGGGAGCCCAGCGCGAATCCCAGAAAATCTGCGGGGAGCGCCAAAAGTTCATGTTTGTGACGTTTTTTCTCTTCGGCAGTGAGCTCTCGCTCGAGGTCACGCTGACGAAGGGCGGTCGACCCACGGGAGCCTCACTACACGCTTTGGGGCGGCGGCCGATGCCCGCAGAGGCCTCGGTCACGTGATGCTGAGTCACAGTCGGTCCGCAGCTGGCAGGGCATGGTATGGCAAGGCATCTTGCGCTGGTAGCCGTCCCCATGGGGCCGACACCACAACAACTACAGTCAACCCGTATAGCAAGGATGCGCGACAAGGATGCAAGGGCCTTGGAAGCCCTGTTCGAAGCTTTCCGAGCGGGACGCGACCAACGAGTGGTCGAGGATGGACCGACGAGGCAAGGATGCAAGGGTACCCTTGGGAAGGTTGCCCATCCTTACTATGCGCGTTGACTGCAGATTTCTCTCGACACAGTGGAGCTGTCAAGATGGATCACCACTGGCTCACAGGCAACGCTGTGCTGGCCGGACTGCCTGCAAGACACCTGAGCCACACCCGATCTGCCAAGCATCGCAGGCACGCGCGATTAGGAGCAGCAGTCTGTCCAAGTTTCTACACCAAGATCAAACACCATTGACTCATCAAGTCGGGAGCTGCCAGGGGTGTCCCTGGCCCAAGATGTTCCCAGCTTTTCGCTCCATCTTGGAGACCCTGGGGCCCTCTGGGCCTCGGAAGGGGTGCTCCGAAGGCCGTGGAGGCCTCCTTGGATCCTGGGGGGCAACCTGGGTAAGGGAAATAACCGGAAAAACCCGATCTAATGGTGGTCATGGCGATCGCTATCCACGACTTTGCAAGAAAATGTTGAGCCCAGCTCGAGGATAGACGATGGGAAGGCGTCTGTCCTCGATTGGTGTGAACCCGACTGGCTCCTGGGACAGGTATCCCCGAGCTTCCTGTCGCTTCCGAGCAGAAAGTTTTTTGGGGGGGAGAACTCAGGGATTCGGGGAGAGAAATCGCTGACGCTCGTCGATCGTCGATCCTCGGCGTCGTTGCTCGTTCGATCAAAGTTCGTCAATCGATTGGCGGCGAGCGAGGGGGGGGAAATAAGAAGGAAAAGGCCTTCTCAAAAGGCTCGGAAGTCCCCCGGCCTTCTGAGAAGTTTTCTAAGCCTTCCCCGAAGACAAAAAAACGTCTCAGAAGGCGCGAGGGCTTCTGAGAAATCCCGTCGCCTTCTGAGAAGGCCTTCTGCTTCCCCCCCTGGCTCGCCGCCGAATCGAGCATCGGGGTTCGAACCTCAAGGCTTCTGGGGCAGTCTTCGCCCTATTGTGGGCATCCGTGGAGAGACCAGGTCCTCATCGTCCTGGGGGCAGGGCGACCCCCACCCAGCAGGGGGGTTCGAGGCTCGACGACTGCGGACGCTTTCGTCGACTCCCGCAGCCCAGCCTCCGGACACTTTCCAGCCTCTACAGAGGAGGCCAGTCCACAAGAAGCCTTCCACAAGAAGCCCAACCCTGAGACCACAGGACGTCCATCGATCTTTGGTGTGGGAACGTCACGCTTTCCATAGCAAAGCCATCGACACCCAAGAAACCCAGGGCACCCTCGAGGTGAGGAGGGGGCTTCCTGGCATGGGCACCCACTGTAACCTGGCTGAGAGCGCTCTAGGGGGGCTGGGTCGCCCCGAGCGGGCGCCGGGGCCCGAGCGAAGACCCGAGAGCCAGGCCCCCTCGCGTCCTCGGGGCGGGGCGACGACGACGAGGGCCACGGCGACGACGGGGAAGGCGACGACCACCGCCACCTCCACGACCCTCCACCACCTCCTCCTCCTCCTCCTCCTACTCCTCCCTCCCACCCCTCCTCCTCCTCCTCCTCCTCCTCCTCCTCCCCTCCTCCTCCTCCTCTCCCTCCTCCTCCTCCTCCTCCCTCCTCCTCCTCCTCCCCCTCCTCTCCTCTTCCTCCGACACTACTCCTCCTACCCCATCCTCCTCCTCCTTCCTCCTCCTCCCTCCTCCTCTCATCCGCCTCCTCCTCCTCCACTCTCCTCCTCCTCCTCCTCCCTCTCCCCTCCTCCACCTCCCCTGCCTCCTCCTCCTCCTCCTCCCTCCCTCCTCCTCCGCCTCCTCCTCCGCCTCCTCCTCATCATCATCATCCTCCTCCTCCGCCTCCGCCTCCGCCTCCTCCTCCTTTTCTTATTATTCTTATTATTATGATTATTAGTATGATTATTGTTATTATGCCTCTTAGTTTTATTATTATTCTTTTTACTATTAGCATTATTACTAGTAGTATTAATAATAATAGTATTACTATTATTAGTGATATCATTATTGGTATTACTGTTATTAGTATCCGTACTCTTCTTATGCTTAGCATTATTACTAGTATTAGTATTTCTATTATTACTACTACTATTATTAGTGTTATTAATATTACTACTATTATTATTAGTATTACTATTAGTAGTAGTAGTATTGATGTTATTATTAAGTTGGTAGTATTGATTGTAGTATTAATATCATTATTCTTCTTATGCATAGTAATGGTATTCGTATTCGTCGTCTGCGTCTTATTCTTAATAGTATTAGTAGTGTTCGTCTTCTTCTTATCATTATTATTAGTAGTATTCGCCGTCTTATTTTTATTAGTAGTAGTAGTCGTCGTATTGGTAGTAGTCTTAGTATTATTTTCCGTCGTCGTATTATTATGTTTATTCTTAGTAGTATTATCAATGTTCTTATTCTTTGTGAATATTATTCCTAATATTATGATTATTGGTATTAGTAGTGTTACTGATATTGGTATTAATAGTAATATTATTATTATTAGTTTTAGTAGTAGTATTAGTCTTATTAGTAGTAGTATTATTACTATTATTATCATTATTATTATTATTACTATTATTATTATTAGTATTACGGCTCGACTTCGTATTCTTCTTCTTCGGCTTAGTATGATTCTAATGATTATTAGTAATATTATCTTTATTATTACTAAGATTAGCATGTCTCCTCCTCCTCCTCCTCCTCCTCCTCCTCCTCCTCCTCCTCCTCCTCCTCCTCCTTCTCCTCCTCCTCCTCCTCCACCCCCCCCTCCCTCCTCCTCCTCCTCCTCCTCCTCTCCTCCTCCTCCTCCTCCTCCTCCCTCCTCCTCTTCCTCCTCCTCCGCCTCTTCCGCCTCCACCTCCTCCTCCCTCCTTCCCCTCCTCCTCCTCCCATCCCACTCACTCCTCCTCCCTCCTCCTCCTCTCTCCTCCTCCTCCTCCTCCTCCCCCCCCCCCCTCCGCATTCCTCCTCCTCCTCCTCACCCTCATCCCTCCTCTCCATATCCGCTCCTCCTCCTTCCTCCTCTCATATCCGCCCCTCTCCCTCCCCCTTCTCCTCCTCCTCCTCCTCCTCCTCCTCCTCCCCCTCCCCCTCCCCCTCCCCTCCTCCCCCTCCTCCTCCTCCCTTCCCCCGCCTCCTCCTTCCTCCTCCTTTCCTCCCCTCCTCCTCCTCCTCCCCCTCCTCCTCTCCTCCTCTCCCTCCTTCCCTCCTCCTCCCTCTCCTCACTCCTCCTCTCTCCTCATCCGCCTCCTCCGCCTCCTCCGCCTCCTCCCATTCCTCCCCCTCCTCCCTCCTCCCTCCCCTCCCCTCCCATCCTCCTCCTCCTCCTCCTCCTCCTCCTCCTCCTCCTCCTCCTCCTCCTCCCTCCCTCTCCTCCCCTCTCACCTCCTACCTCCTCCTCCTCCTCTCTCCTCCTCCTCCCCCTCCTCCTCCTCCTCCTCCTCCCCTCCTCCTCCTCCTCCTCCTCCTCCTCCTCCTCCTCCTCCTCCTCCTCCTCCTCCTCCTCCTCCTCCTCCTCCCTGGACCAGCCCCCTCTGCCTACCTCGGCGGCACGCCAGAGTGACCTTGGACAAGACTGACATCTGGCGCTCGGCTTGCCCACCCCTGCACGCGATGGGATTGTGGCCGCCTGCGTGCTCGGGTCGCGCGGTCTGGCCCCACGCGCCCCCCGAATGCAGCGCACCCAAGGCCACTCCGGCGAAGGAGCCGATGTCCTAGGGCACAGTCGACCTGTGTCATGAGGGCGCACGATAAGGGTGCAGGGGCCTTGGAAGACTGTGTCGACACTTTGCGGTCGGGGCGCGGCCAGCAAAAGCGGCCAAGGATGGACCGAGGAGGCAAGGATGCAAGGGTACCCTTGGGAAGGTTGCCCATCCTTACTATGCGGGTTGACTGTAAGGCCTCTGGCTGAGCACGGACGAGCACCCCCGGCAGCGACGACCTGCCAGACCACCCCAACCTAACCCGAGGACCCAAATTTCGAGTTGGGGGGAGTACGGGTTCCACATGTGCTTTTTCAGTGTTCTCCGACGTCCCCCCCCACACACTGCGGATGGGGAGCAAATTGAGGCCTTCGGGTTGGGTTGGGGTAGTTTGGTGGGTGGTGAGGTAGTCCCTGCTGGCCTCAACAGCCCCCCCCGAGCACTCCCAGCTGGCCTCAACATGCCCCCCGAGTAGCCCAAGGGCGGTCTCAACACCTCAACCCCTGGGCGCGAAGCGCCTGCGGCGCGCCGCCAGGGGCGGCGCCAGGGTGTTGAGACCGCCCCCGGGCTACTCGGGGGGCCTGTTAAGGCCAGCCAGCTGGGAGTACTCGAAGTCCTGCTGGGGCCAGCTGGGACTACCTGTGGAGGGCTCTCAGTGCGGTACCCGAAGTTTTACCACAACCGACCAACCGCAGAGGGTCTTCAATGCTGCCCTTCACCCCCCCAAAGCTCTCGGCTGGCAATAAACTCGTACCTCCCGTCCTCGTCCCCCCCTCCCCCCCCCTCGTCCCCCCACGCTCGGAGCAAGTGTGCGAGTGCGATGACGGCGACGGCGGCGGCGGTGGCGACGACGACGACGACGGCGGCGGCGACGACGACGACCACATTGGTCCTCGTCTGTGCCGTCCTTCGGCTCGCTCGTGCCGCCGGTGACATGCTGGCGACGGCGCGGCTGCTGGTGCTGCGGCTGCTACTCTTGCTTGGGCTCTGCCTCCTCCTTCTTCTCCTCCTCCTCCTCCTCGTCCTCCTCCTCGTCCCCATCATCATCATCATCATCATCATCATCATCATCATCATCATCATCATCATCATCATCAGCAGCATCAGCATCATCATCATCATCATCATCATCATCATCATCATCATCATCATCATCATCATCATCATCATCATCTTCATCTTCATCTTCATCATCAGCAGCAGCATCATCCTTATCATCATCATCAGCATCATCATCACCTTCATCATCATCATTATCATCATCAGCATCATGATCCTCATAACCATCATCATCACCATTATCATCACCATCATCATCATCGTCGTCATCGTCATCGTCATCACCGTCATCATCATCGTCATCAGCATCAGCATCAGCATCAGCATCAGCAGCATCATCATCAGCAGCAACAGCAACAGCAACAGCAACAGCAACAGCATCATCATCCATCCGTCTCTTTTCCTTAAAAAATGACTTCTCCCTGTCGCACCCCCAGAAGTGTCGGTGGGGCGGGCCGGGCATTTCGCCGAAGACTTCCCCACTTCGAACGATCCTGAAGCTTGAAATCTGCAGCAGCTTCACAAAGTGTGGGCAGGGGAGGTTCAAATTGTTGCTGTCGCACACCCGAAAGAAAGTCTACATCAGCTTCAAGGATGGAGGGCACTCACGAAGGATCGGCGCGTCAAGTACAAGCGCCATCTCGACGAGCCCGTCATGAGAGCCTCACCCGAGGAGACGAACTACAAGGAGGAGGCAGCCAGCGCTCTGGCCGCTACTGCTGGCGAGTCGCTCCACGCTGCAGGCTGCGATATCACCATGGGCGATGTGCACCAATTCCCCGACCAGCCCGCGCTCACCGCGCCCATTGTCTGCCAGCTGCGCGACACGAGCTCCACCGCCGACGGCAATTTTGACAGGCGCGCCGCTGCAGATCACGCGCCCATGAAAAAAAACAGCGCCCTGCACACTGACTGGAACAGCAGGGCCCTCGAGCGCTCCCGCCGCGAGAGAAACGCACCATCGCGCAGAATTGCGCACACGTTCAGCAGCTCTCCCGCCCGGGCATAGGCGGAAACACGTTCGCCGGCGGAGTCCGCGATGTGCCGCGGCGCGAGGCTGCCTGCGGCGTGCGCCAGCCAGAGGACTTCGCGGAGCATCGTCACGAGCTGAACTTGTTCGGAAAACCACCAGGGACGCAATGCGAACTGCCCCACTGCGGGGCGCCAGCGGACCCGACAGAATCCACCGGCGGCGCCGATCAGCCCGCCGTCCGCGGCACTCCTCTCGAGCACCAAGACACGTTCCACTTGCAGAACCCAAACGCAGTGCGCGCCCTTCTGGACGTGGAGCGACACGCCTCCCTCGTCCCTCGCGTGGAGCCCCACGCGTCCTCGGCGCAGCATCCAGACGACTCTGGGAGGCGCTGGCCACTGCGCGTCAAGTGCGCCTTCCCGGCAAAGCGCGCAGAACGCCGCCGCGAGTTCCGCCCCTCGCGGCGCAATCAAATTCAGCAACGCAGAATCTACGCTCCACGGCGCCAGGGACGACGTCTGGGCCAAGCTCAAAACCACAGCCACCCACAAAGACGGCCCTCGCCTTCGCGATGCGCGGGGCTGGCACGAGTGCGCTTACGAGTGGCGCGGAGCGTCGTTCGCATCGCGCGTGCGCGCGCGCCTGAACGACAAGCACGCGCGCAGAGTCCTTGTCCACCTCCCAACAATCCACAGGCCTTCCGCTAGGCTCACCCAGACTACGACGACACGCGCGCCTGCGCCAACATCGGTGCGACGGCCAAGCTCGCTTGCGTCCTCCCTGCGTACGTGGTCATGGAAGTAGTACTCGCGGAGTCTTACTCGCCGCCTCGAATGGCACGCGGCACCCCTGTGAAGGTCGTGGATATTGAGCTCCACACGCAGGAGCCCTCGGTGGTCAACACGCAGTCCATTCGCAATGACTCTGACGCGGTCTCGAAATTCACGTCAGTCGCCATCCACGCCCAGGTTCCCAAATTGAACAAGAACTTCCTCGAGAACGGACTCCGGTGCTCCTCAGACGAGGGGGGGAGACTTGACAGGCGTGCTTGCCGTGACACCCGTCGCGCCATCTTGGTCGCACAAGCCCGCAGGCGCGCAAAACGCAGCGCGCAAAACGCCGCTCTGGCCGCTACTGCTGGCGAATCGCTGCACGCTGCAGGCTGCGATATCGCCATGGGCGATGTGCACCAATTCCCCGACCAGCCAGCGCTCACCGCGCCCACTGTCTGCCAGCTGCGCGACGCGAGCTCCACCTCCGACGGCAGTTTTGACAGGCGCGCCGCTGCAGATCACGCGCCCATGAAAAAAAAACAGCGCCCTGCACACTGACTGGAACAGCAGGGCCCTCGAGCGCTCCCGCCGCGAGAGAAACGCATCATCGCGCAGAATTGCGCACACGTTCAGCAGTTCTCCCGCCCGGGCATAGGCGGAAACACGCTCGCCGGCGGAGTCCGCGATGTGCCGCGGCGCGAGGCTGCCTGCGGCGTGCGCCAGCCAGAGGACTTCGCGGAGCATCGTCACGAGCTGAACTTGTTCGGAAAACCACCAGGGACGCAATGCGAACTGCCCCACTGCGGGGCGCCAGCGGCCCCGACAGAATCCACCTGCGGCGCCGATCAGCCCGCCGTCCGCGGCACTCCTCTCGAGCACCAAGACACGTTCCACTTGCAGAACCCAAACGCAGTGCGCGCCCTTCTGGACGTGGAGCGACACGCCTCCCTCGTCCCTCGCGTGGAGCCCCACGCGTCCTCGGCGCAGCATCCAGACGACTCTGGGAAGCGCTGGCCACTGCGCGTCAAGTGCGCCTTCCCGGCAAAGCGCGCAGAACGCCGCCGCGAGTTCCGCCCCTCGCGGCGCAATCAAATTCAGCAACGCAGAATCTACGCTCCACGGCGCCAGGGACGACGTCTGGGCCAAGCTCAAAACCACAGCCAAAGACAAAGACGGTCCTCGACTTCGCGATGCGCGGGGCTGGCACGAGTGCGCTTACGAGTGGCGCGGGGCGTCGTTCGCCACGCGCGTGCATGCGCGCCTGAACGACAAGCACGCGCGCAGAGTCCTTGTCTACCTCCCAACAATCCACTGGCCTTCCGCTAGGCTCACCCAGACTACGACGACACGCGCGCCTGCGCCAACATCGGTGCGACGGCCAAGCTCGCTTGCGTCCTCCCTGCGTACGTGGTCATGGAAGTAGTACTCGCGGAGGCTTACTCGCCGCCTCGAGTGGCACGCGGCACCCCTGTGAAGGTCTTGGAGATTGAGCTCCACACGCAGGAGCCCTCGGTGGTCAACACGCAGTCCATTCGAATCACTCTGACGCGGTCTTGAAATTCACGTCAGTCGCCATCCACGCCCAGGTTCCCAAATGGAACAAGCACTTCCTCGAGAACGAATCAGGTGCTCCTCAGACGAGGGGGGGGAACTTGATAGGCGCGCTTGCCGTGACACCCGTCGCGCCATCTTGGTCGCACAAGCCCGCAGGCGCGCAAAACGCCGCGTGTGTGACCAGGACGCAAATCCCACAGTTGCCCCAAAAGCAGTCCGCACTCCATGGCACCCAAGGCAAAACAGCAGATCCTGGCTTCATTGCCCGCTGGCAGTTCCCAGCCAGACTGACGGAACAATTATGTGGCTCGCATGCTACACGTCTTTGTTCCGCCCGCATAATCTCCGCAGTCCCCTGTGTCACAGCGAGCCAAACAGAAGAGAAGGCTGGCCCTCTGGAAGCTATCGTTGCCACGCTCGACGCGTTCTTTTCCAAGAAACCCGCCCCCACAAAGCGGGACTGTGCGAAAGCACGCGCCGTTATAAACTGGTCACCGTGGCCCCGTTGAACCTGGAGCCTTGCATCCTGCGTTCAAAGCCTTCGCGATCACGATGTTGCTCAACCTGTTGCGCCCCTGCTCTCGCGACCACGGTGCTGCTCAGCCTGTTACGTCCATGCTCTCATAACCACGGCGCTGCTCAGCCTGTGCTGAAGCGGACGGCTTTCGCGCCACTCCGCTCAGACGGCAGAAAATGTTCTCCAGCGTACTCGGAAAATACCTTCCGCTCATCACGCCCATCCTCCTCAAGATCACCCCCTCCCAGCAGCAGCAGCGACAGTGACAGCAAGAGCAGCAACGACACCGTTCAGCACAAAGGACATCATCACCACCACCACCACCATCATCATCATCATCATCATCAACAACAACAATAACAACAACAACAACAACAACAACAACAACAACAACAACAACAACAACAACAACAACAACAGCAACAACAACAACAACAACACCAACAACAACGACAACAACAACAACAGCAACAACAACAACAACAGCATCATCATCAGCAGCAGCATCAACATCATCAACATCATCATTATCATCATCAGCATCATCAGCATCGGCATCAGCATCATCAGCATCATCAACATAATCATCAGCAGAACCATCATCAACCTCATCATCAGCAGCATCACCAGCAGCAGCACCAGCATCATCATTATCATCATCAGCATCATCAGCATCAGCATCAGCATCATCAACATAATCATCAGCAGTATCATCATCAACCTCATCATCACTAGCATCCTAATCATCAGCACCATCAGCATCGTCATCATCAGAATCGGATTCATCATCATAGTCCTAAAACTCATCCTCGTCATCAGCATCATCATCATCAGCAGCAGCATCATCAGCATCATCAGCACCATCATCGTCGTGATCATCGTCATCAGCATCAATATCAATATCAGCATCCTCATCAGCATCATCTTTCCCATCAGAAGCAGCAGCATCATCATCAGCATCATGACCAATCTCATCCTCATCGTTATCATTGCGTTTGGGATATCTGGGAATGATCGGGAGCGGAGTCATATGGTTCATCATCCCTTCTACACCTTAGCTGTTACTAGGGTACTTTGCTGGGTAAGTTAGCGTCCCCGGGTCCGGCCATGGCCCCTGGGAGTCCGCAAATTGCCAAGACTTCCTGCCGTGATTCCTTCACGACGCGAAGATGTCCAGGGAACCCACACAAAATACGTACGAGCCCAACCACGTACATGAAGACGGCCACCCACTCCGCGAGACAAGCCTCGCGATGCGTGCTTTGGAAACCAGCGGTAGACTCGTGCACGTGTACGTCCTTCTCACGCTCCTGCACGTCAGGGAACCCAACACTACAATGAGCCCGCCGCCGACGCCCGACTCCGCCGCCCCTCCGCGAAACAGCAGCGCCTGGCGCGGCGCCGGCCGGTAGCCAGGCGTCGTGCTCTCAAGGCTCTCGAACATGTCCTCGGGGTCCTCCGGCATGCCAGACCTCGGCTGTCCAGCGCGGCGGCCAGCGCCCAGAAAGAGCCGAGGCTCCCGCCCGAAAAATGACGCACGGAGTGCTCTCACGGCGATCGGCCTCTGGGGAGCCTCGCCGAGCCTCGGGGAGGAGGAGGAGGAGGAGGAGGAGGAGGAGGAGGAGGAGGAGGAGGAGGAGGAGGACGACGAGGAGGAGGAGGAGGAGGACGACGACGAGGAGGAGAACGGCTCGGGACGAGACGCCGGCCCCGGGAGGAGGGCGCCAACTGCACACCGGCGCTGGCCCTGGCCAGGCCCATGGTGGGCCAGGGATCGCTGTGTGCGCTCTCGCGGCTCGGCCAGCAAAACCCCACACACCGAGACCGGGCCCAGGATCGGCCCGTCCAGGAGGGGCGTGAACTGGGTGTACAGCTGGCGACCTCCGACCCGGAAGAAGGGTCGGGACTTCCACTGGCCCCGTAGGGAAAATATCCGGACGATGGGTGGAACGGACTCCCCAGCAGCCCTCGAAAGTGGCGACAGTTTCGCAGATCGCATCCCCCAAGGATCGAAACAAAAGGAAAGAGAGAGAGAGAGAGAGGGGAAGGAAGGAGAGAGGCGGGAAGGGAGGAGGAGAAGAAAGCGACCACAGCGCTCTATACTCAAAATGAAGGCCCAACCAAAGGAGGATTGGGAAAAACATCCCACGATGGAATCGGAGGCAAGTACGAGAGAGGATCGAAACAAGAAGAGAGAGACAGAGAGGAAGAAAGAGAGAGAGAGAGAGATCTATACATACATACATACATACATACATACATACATACATACATACATACATACATACATCCATCCATACATACATACATACATACATACATACATGCATGCATGCATACATACATACATACATATATACATACATACATGCATACATACATACATACATACATACATACATACAGACAGACAGACAGACAGACAGACATGCATGTATGCATGCATGCATGCATGCATGCATGCATGCATGCATGCATGCATGCATGCATGCATACATACATACATACATACATACATACATACATACATACATACATACATACATACATACAGAGAGAGAGAGAACGAACAAAAAAAGGCGGGAAGGGAGGAGGAGAAAGCACGCGACCACGGTGCTCTATACTCAAAACGAGGGCCCCACCACAGGAGGACTGAAAACAAAAAAGAGACGCCCCGACGACGGGCCCCCTGGGCTCCCCCCGCAGGTCTCGGGCGGGAGAGGACGAGCCCCTCCGCGGGGGCGCTGCTGCACCCCAGCGGCGCTGCTTCTTGGGGGACGCGCCGACCCCCCGGGGCCTCGACAAAGGCTCCTGCGTCGCGAGCCCAGGGCGGGCCCCTCCGAAGAGCCCCCCACACCCAGGCCTCAGCGGCGAGCGAGAGGGGGGGAAGCGAGCAGGAGAAGGCCTTCCCAGAGAGCGGCGCGACTCCTCGGAGGCCCTCGCGCCCTTGGGGACGCGCGGGCCCAGGGCCCGCCAGGGCCGGGCGTCGCGAGCCCGGGCAAGGCCCCCCCCAACAGGTCCCAAACCCCGGGTCCGTGGAGGGACCGACCGTCCCGGCATTCCTGTAGGCCTACCACGACATGTTCTTAGAACCCTGCAATGTTCTCAGAACAAGCGCAGTGTTCTTCTAGCACAAGCCCGATGCACTAGAACGAGACAGCCCGAGCCTGAAGTGTTGTGAAAAGATTTCGCGCAAGCCACAAGAGGTTCTAAGAACATCCTCTGGCGGGCCTAGGATGGCCAGTGCTTGGAAAGGCGGGTCGGCTCCGCGCGGCTCCCAGACCCAATTCGGCCAGAGGCGACTCGAGGGGATCGGCTGACCCCTCTCAG